GCGGCTGCCTGGGGGCCCACTCCTGGGGGAGGACAGGGTCAGAGGGGAGATTCTGAGAACGGTGCCCACCTGCTTCCAGCCGCAGGATGACCCGCCCTCTGACACAGGGGTGAGGAGGGGCTTTGCGGCAGGCAGAGCTTGCAGGGCTGGAGGGACACTTGCCAGTCACAGTGACCAGGGCCCCTTTGCCTGGGAGTGACCAGGCTGCCTCACCTGTCCCCGTTGGGTAGCCGGCCTTGCCCGCGGCACCAGCCACTCCTCCGGGTCCGTAGCCTGTCAGAGGAGAGGGCTGGCGTCACCTTTACCCAAGCAGACTTGGCCACCTCTGCCGCCCCTGCCCTTCCCTGCCGGGCCCTGCTGCCCTGAGTGTCCCTGTGTCACCCCCAGCAGGAGTGAGAACAAATACAAATGGGCACGTGGCCCTGGGATTCCCACTGCACAGAAGAGGACAGAGAAGAGGACAGGCTCTTGGAGGCCTCACGAGAGGGAGAGGCCCGGAGCGAGGACCAGGCCAAGGCCACGTTTCATGCAGTGTCCTTTGGAGACCCCCGTTCCAATAGTCCATCCTGCTGCCCAGGGCTGGGGTGGAGGCACCCTCTCTGGGCCCCTAAGGCCCACAAGGGCGGACTCACTGAAGGGCGCTTTCCCGTTGGCGTAGGGCAGTCCATAGCCACCTGAGGAGAGAGCAGGGTGGGCTCCAGGGCTGCCCCCCTGGGTGGACAGACTACCCTCCCCCCAAGAGCCCTATGTGGAGGAGGAAGGACCCCCTCCCCCTGGGTCTGACGGGACATTCCTCCCCCTGCAAGTCCAGGGCCCACCTGGCCCCGAGTTCTGAGCATCGTCCTTGGGTCCCTCTCTACGGGAAGAATCCCCTGGGCTGATAGCTGAGGTGGGGGGTGGCCCTGCGGGTGACTTGATGGCGGAGGGTTCTTTCCTATGGTGTCCAATACCGTCCACACAGTGGCTCTCCCTCAGAGCTTTGGGTCTCTGTGTACGTGCGCACTCATGCACAGGGACGTGTGCCTAGCGTCTGTGGCTGGGTTTCCCCAGGTTTTCTTTGACTGGTGACCAGAAGTGACTTCAATACCAGTCCCCACCGTCCCACCCCAGGACATCTGTGTCCCCCTAGGCTGAGTCTCAGCAAGTCCTTCCTCCTGAAGCCCCCTTGACTCACCTGGGAGCTTGGGTGCCTTGATGGGGTACCCCAGTGGGACCCCAGGCTGCTGGCCCCCAAAGGGCCCGACCCCTGTGGAAACCGAAAGCAAAATCAGGGCCCAGCTCTCTGGGCCAGCAGCCCCTTGTACGCCTTCTATGGATGCCGCTTTCTGCTCAGACAGCAGCAGTTCAACAGGCCACTTTCTGGGGAACTGCAGGACTCCCCGGGGGTCTTGGACCCCTGCTGGAGCTGATAGTTTTGCCCTCCTTGAAGGGGGCTGGATTTGGCAGTTTGGGGCTCTGTGCAGATGGGTTGGGGGAGGGAACAGGCCTGGGATCGGTGTCCCTTCGTGCTGAAGTCAGCTCAGGGCCCGAGTGGGAGCCATGAGGGGACTCCCAGGTCTGGATGGATGCTGGGTACCCAGCTCCTCCCAGGGCCAGAGCCCCTGCCCAGCTGGCCACCTGCCTGTCCTCCCCCTGGCCTGAGACGGTCAGCCCTGTCTCACCTGGGATTCCGGCAAAAGCTCCACCTCCACCTGCAATGACAAAATCCTGTCACGGCAGCCCTGGCACCATGGGCACAGGGCCCGGGGACAACGTTGGCCTGGCAGACTCCGGCAGGGGCCAGTTGTACCCAGACCTCGAAGCTCGTCCCGTCCTTGCGCACGGTCTGGGATTTCTGAGCAGCGGGCTGCCCGTCCTGGACTGCAGGTCCAGGGCTGGGCACAAGAATGCCCTCCAGAGGACCCTGAGTAGGCCCCGGATCCCCCCATGGCCCACCGTTCAGTCCCCAGGAGCCTGCAAGTGGGTGCAGAGCCTCCCCCAGGGGCCCAGCCCAGCCGGCTGCATACCTGGGGCCTTGGCCTTGACTCCTGTTCCGGTGGGCACCCCAGGGAGCACCCCTACTCCAGGGAACCGAGCTCCTGCGGGGCAAAGAGGACTATGGCTATGGCAGAAGGCCCGCCTTGGCCCCTCTCCTGCCTCGGGTCTCTGGGTGGATCTGTCTGTGATGGGCATGGCTCACGGGGACCTGTTGCTGGGCACTTTCCTCTCCTTCCCGGCCCAAGGTCGGAAGGTCCCGGCTTTCACCCTATTTTGCAGTCACGTGGCCTCAGGCCTGAGTGGACTTCATCACAAATCCACCTTGCCCACCCTCGGGGGAGAAGCACGGAGCGCCAGAGTCGGGGCAAAGTGGCTGTGTGTGCGCAGAGCAGCCTCCTGGCGGTGGCCTGGGACTGAGTGCCAGGGTCTCCTTCCTCTCCCTCCTGCCCTGGGGCTGGGCTGCCTGACCTGACCCCGAGGGGGTGGGGTCCACTCTGTCAGCAAATCCCACAGAATCGCCTGGATCTGGGCTTTTGGGGGATTTCAGGAGGTCACATGTTGGGTGGGGTGGCAGGCCCTGGCAGGGAAAGGGGGTGGGGATGGCTTTTCAGGGTCTCCTGCAGGGCAGACCTGCTGGGCAGGCCCCCTGGTGACTCACGACTTTGAGGACACAGCTGGCTACACTGGGGTCTCTGTCTACCCCTGGGGGCCTGCCTGGGCTGTGAGGGGGGTTGGGGCCTGGGGTCAGGGCTTGGGTGGGGCCAGGGAGGCTGATGCTTAGTGCCAGGGACCTCTGTTCACTAGCCAGAGCTCTGACACTTGAGAAAACAGCCACTGACCAGGACCCAAGGCCTCTGCCGGCCTCTGCCTGTGGGGGTGGGGTTTGGGGGAGGCTGATGGGGAATGCTTTCTTTCTACAAGTTTCCCTTTGCTTTCTGGTCCTCACCTGTGCCGGGGAGCACGCCACCTGGGTATACACCTGGGAGCCCCACACCTGGAGGCAGGAAGAGAAGGAGGTACCATGAGCAGCAGCTCAGAGTCCAGGGACTCCACCAATCCCCCCCCAGGCAGCTCCAGGGATCCCAATGCGCAGCCCTGTGCCCACTGCGGGAGCCAGGGACAGGCATCGGGTATCAGCGTCCCTCCTCCTACGACTCTCGGAAGTCATCTGCTGACCCTCCCGTGCATGGATTTCTGTCTGTCTCCTGGAGCCAGCCCACCTCTGGCTAACAGCTTCCAGATGTCCCCTCCCTGCTGAGTGGACAGGCAGCCTTTTGTTGAACCTCAAGTCACTTCCTACAGGGCTTGGTGAGGTGGAATGAGTACCAGATGAAGAGTCAGAGGATGTCACCCTGGCTCTGCGGGGACCAGCCACAGCCCCTCCCACTCTGACTCTCGATGCTGAGCTTCAGTGTCCACATGGTCCCCCAAGAGCCTGCCATAAGCTTGTCTCTGAAGCATTTTTCTGCTTCAAGTTCCTAGAAGGGCCAGGAGGGCCCTCTGCCCCGTTCCACAGAAGCAGGTCCCATGCTGTTGACCTGGCCATCTTCCCTGCCCTGCTGCGGCCAGGCCCTGCCACTTCTCCCCGAGCACAATGGGGAAGGGGCTCTGTCCCTCCCTGACCTCTGCCCTCCAGCCCCGGGGACTCCACACTCACCGGGCACTTTCCCTGGCTTCCCTCCAGCTCCGACGCCGACTCCAGGTCCGACCTGAGGGACCACGGCACCTGGCACGGCAGGAGGCACGTGAGGATTGGTTCCACGGCCCTCTGGCTTCGCCCAGGGAACTCAGGTCAGCCACCTCACCTGTGGACACTCCTAAGCCACCGACTCCGCCAACGCCACCGACTCCTCCAACGCCACCGACTCCTCCAACGCCACCAACCCCGCCAACTCCGCCTCCGAGCCCAGCACCTGCAGGGCCAGGTGGAGGGGTCACTCGAGGGACGGCAGAAGGCAGAGGCCCTGGAGCTCCGGCCCTGCCACTAACCCCCCTGGCTGCCTCCCGAGCCTCCACAGGTTGGAGATGAGGATCCTGCCCATCCGCCTTGCAGGCCCCTGGGCAAGAGAAGGTAAAGTGGAGCCCAGGGAAGCCAGGGGTTGATGGCGCGTCCTGGAGGGTCCCACTCACCAGCCTTGGCAGCCTTATAGGCTGCAGCAGCACCAGCAGCTCCACCTGGCACCACGCCCCCCGGGAAGGCACCTGCAGGGAAGGCTCCCAGCCCTGCGGAGGAGAGGACAGGGTGAGGTCCTGGGCACGGCACCCTGGAAACTGCCCAGCCCCAGCCCGCCGGCCCTGCCCACTCAGGAAGCTCAACTGAGGCCCCTCTACTCCCTACAAGACCTCAGCCAGGAAGCCACGGCTGCTCAGGAGGACTGGACCCTGTGTTGGAGGCCAGGGGGGCCCCCGGCTCCAGTGGACAGGATCTTTTGGGCCAAGCACCCCCCCCCATGCCTTCCCAAGTGCCCTGGGGAGCTGATGCCCTGGGCAGCCTCCAACTGGACCCTGTGTTGGAGGCCAGGGGGGCCCCCGGCTCCACTGGGCAGGATCTTTTGGGCCAAGCACCCCCCCCCATGCCTTCCCAAGTGCCCTGGGGAGCTGATGCCCTGGGCAGCCTCCATCTGGTCCTCATCACTACCTTGTGATAGTCCCCTCACCCAGCTGGGACCCCCTCCTGCCCCACATGACTGCTCGAAGCAAGTGATCTTAGCCTCAGTCCCCACTAGGCTGAGTCACCAGTCCCTGTCGGGCATCTTGTGTGGTGTCCACACTCACCTGCCCCGGGGCCAGCTCCCGCAAGCCCTCCAGGACCTGCAGGAGAAAGACAGCAGATGAGAGGAGGGTGGTGTGTGGGCAGCAGCCCTGGCCCAAGGGGAGAAGATCTCCCAGAGCGGGGGCAGGACCCTGGCAGCACTGTGACGAGCAGGTCACAACTCTGGTCTCTAAGCTGCTCCTTAGGCCTTTGGTATGTTGCGTGATTATGCTAAAAGGGTAGCCAACCCTGAGTGACCGTGCGCTATGCTGTGTAGACAGGACTGTGCCGAAGCCCCCGGCGACCTGGGAAGGGCTGTGCCCCTAACAGCCAACCAGAGGCAGCAGGGCTTCCTGCAGGGCCAGAGCTGGGCCCGGGCTGCAGGCTAGGCCTCAGCCAAGCCAGGGGCCCCACCTGGGCCTGCCCTCTCCTTCGCAGGTGCCTCTGATTTCACCTGGGTCTGTCCCCATCATCTGTCCTTCTGTCCAGCCTGCCCCGCAGTCCAGGAGCCTCGTGGCTAGAGCCAGATGGGTCCCTGGCACTCTCCTCCCCACATCTGGGCCCCATTGCCCCTCCCAGGGGACATTCCTCGGCCTTGGCTGGGACAATGGGCAATCGGGCTGGAGTTTACAGCTAACACAGGTTTGTTTCCAATTATGAGAATCTCTCCTGAGAGCACCAGTCCTGGCTGCCAGGGTCCAGGCCCCGGGGGAACACTCTCCAGGGACCTCCAGCAAGGGGCCTGCTGAGCCCTGGGGGAGACTAGTGGCTTCCCCTGGGTGTGGTCTCTCTTCTAACCAGCCCTGCCCACTCCTTCCTCTCTCTCTCTCTCTCTCTCTCTCTCTCTCTCTCTCTCTCTTTCTTCCTGGCACTGAAGATTGAACCTGGGATGCTTAACCACCAAGCCACAAACCCAGCCCTTTTTATTTTTTATTTTGAGACAGGGTCTCACTAGGTTGCTTATGGCCTCACTAAGTTGCTGAGGCTGGACTCAAACTTTCGATCCTCCTGCTTCAGCCTCCTGAGCCGCTGGGATTACAGGTGGGCACCACTGTGCCTGGCCCCACTCACTTCTTAATTGCGTGGCCTGGGCCTTGGGAAGCTCAGGCAGTCCCTCTGTAAGATGGGTCTGTAACTGCCCCTGGAGGTGGACAGACAGGGCCTGGGCTGCCTGGTGAACCTCCTGGCTTTGGGCAGTGGCTGCCCCCAAGCCAGGTCTGTTTCCTGAGCTCCCAGGGGCAGGGGACATGCTCAGATCTTTCCTGTCCACAGGGGCTGGAAGGAAGAGATGGGACCAGAGTGGAATTAAGGAGGGGCTGGGGCAGGGGTGGGTCAGGCCTGGGGACAGACAGCCCCTGTGCATCATCTGTCCTTCTCCCACAGCCCCCCAGAATGCTCTCCCCCTGGGGCCAGCTCCACCTCTGTGTGTTCCCTTCCCTGGACTCACCTGCTCCAAATGCCCCCAGGAGTCCTGCACCTGGAGAGGAGAAAGGGGAGGGGCTGAGCACGGTCCAGAGCCCACCCTCCCAGCCCCCAGCCCAACGACTTTTATTTCTGGAGTCAGAAAGTTCTGATTCAGATCCTCCTGCCCCTGCGGCTCTGTGTGGAGGAGCGAGTCACCTCCCCTCCCTCTCTGAGCCTCAGCTTCCCCATCTGCAGGTGGCCCTAACGCTCCCTGCCTCCTGGGAACCAGCGCGCCCAGGGGTGCCCCCAGCCGGTCCTGTCCTTGCCCCCCCCCCTCTGGGTGGGCAGCTGTCCTCCAGCTAGAGCTCGGGTGTGGGCAGTGCAGGCTCCCAGCTGCCTGGTCCCCCGCTGAGCCTGAACCAGGGTGGGGACAGCCTGCGGGGCCCACATGTAGGAGCAGCTGCCAGGCCACCCACCCTCTATCACCAAGGGATTAATTGTTCCCAAGCATGACATGCGCTGCCTGTGACCCATCCCGTCCTGCCTGGGCAGGCCCGGACGTCCCCCCAGCCCGGATGTAGGGAGCTTCGTTCGGGTAGCCACAGTGGCTCTGCCAAAGCCTTTGTAGCCCTAAATCCTGAGGCTGAAAGGTGACCTTAGGGAGGTCATGGAATCCAGCCCTCCTCCTCCAGACAGTGCTCTTGGCTTCCAAAGGAGATATCCTGACTTTCCTTTTGGTCTCTTCGTTTGGCCTGAGTTGGAAGTTCTTTTGGAAGTCTAACCTAAGTCTTTCAACCGTAGAAGCTTCACTTGAGCTAAGATCCATCGGGAGACTGCACGCAGGTACCTCAGTCTTCCCTCCATTACTTAATGACAACCTGGCCTGGTTCCTGCACTGTCTATGGGGTCAATCAGTGAATGCACCCTCTATCTTTGTAGGTGTGACCTCCACACCTGGGCCTTGTATGCTGTGCACGGTCCTCTCTCCACACCACGGCTCGTCTGGCCATCCCTGTATTCTCTCCGCCTCCCAAGACCCTGCTAAGAGCCCTCACCCTCCAGGAAGACAGGATGGGGTTCAAGCAGGGGGAAGCAGTGGGCCCGGTCTCTGGCCTGGCAGACCCCTCAGACCCCAGGGTCCCTCTTGCCCACACACCCCTCTGCTTCTCCCGCTGGTCCCCGCCCCGGGGTTTCACAACGCAGATGGGCTTTTAGGAAGGGGAGCCTGTGGATCCATCTCTGCTTGGATCAGGGGCCGCCAGGGTTTCGTAAGAGCTGTTGGGCAGCCAAGCTGTGTCCTGGAGCCTGGGGCTTCAGAGCCAGGGCCGTATGCCGCAGGGTGGGGACGCCAAGGCCACATGTGCAGCATCTCACACCAGGGGCCATAAATCTGGGTGGAGACACTGTGGCCTCCACCTGCTCCTCATCCCCCAGAGTCCCCAAGAGACGCCCCCTTGGGGTGAATTCCCCAGAGCTGAGGGTGGCCCTTGGGGGCAGATCCAAGCCCCCGGGGGTGAGGCCTGGACAGACCTACCCCGCCTTCCTACTGGAAAGCTCCCCAGTTTGGACCCAGCTGGACGGGGGCCTGGGGCCGGAAGGGAGGTCCACTTTAGCGTCTGGGGTGAGGGTCAGGGTTCAGCCTGGGGTTGGGCTCAGGGCTTGGTCAGGAGTCAGGATAAGGGCTCAGACCAGCATCCAGCTCAGGCCTATGGGGGTCTCGACCTGGGATTAGACAGGGGTTAGGTTGGGATCAAGGGTCTGAAGGCCGAGCAGGTGGAGTCTGGGGCCCTCGTCTGCGCCTGCTCCTGCAGCGCTGTGTTACAGGCTTGGTGGCCACTGGGACCTCAATCTCTAATTCGGCCTCCAGCGCTGGGGCTGCTTCTGAGGCCCTGAGCAGAGGGCTGTCTTGGAGAGCTGGATGGGTGGGCACTTACAGGATAGAGCTGGGCACCTGTTACCCAAGGAGGACCCTGCTGCTGCCCTCCCCTCCCCTTCCCGCCCCCCAATGCCGTGAGTCAGCCCTCCCTGGCCTCTCAGCCTTTCCTGAGGACTCTGAGCCTCTACTCTTTTCTTACCTGGCTTGGGTGGTTTGCCTCCGGGCCCCAGAGCTGCAGAGAGAGGAGATGGGGGTGAAGGGGGCCCCCCCGGCCAGCATCTTACTAGTTAGCCCCACCCCAGGGAGAGCCAGGATGGAGGTCTGAGGGTCGGTCGGGGCCCAGGGAAGAGCTCGGGGAAGGGCTGGAGCGGTCTGGGGGCTCGGTTCTGACAGGTGTCTTCCCACGGGACACTCAGTCTGGGACTTTGATACCTGGACCTTCTGGGGATCTGGGCCCCAAGGGTGAGTGTCGCCACAGGACCCCCCCACCCACTGGTCTGTGGTCTCACCTCCTCCTCCCAGGCCTCCGAGACCAGCCCCTGTGAGGAGAGACAGAGGAAAAACCATCAGCATCCTCCAGAGACGCCGCTCTCCATCCCTACTCCTGCCGACCTCTGCCCGGCTGCGCGACCTTGGGCACGTCAACCTCTGTGACCCTCCGTTTCTCCTCCCTGGGTCAATATCCTGGGGCCAGTGTGTGCCCTGGGGTCCTGCCAGGCTTCCTCTGGTTCTGAACGCCCACCTACCTTTCCAGTATTGAAAAGGCTCCTTTCAACTTTTTTTTTTTTTAAATTGACTTAAAAACATTATGTTTTCCCCTAGATTAATAGAGGAAAAAAAAAGTCCCCCTTCCCTAGTACCATTGTCCCAACATCCTGCCCATTCTCTCTCGGGGACTCACAGTCCTCATCGGCACCAGACTGGCCGGGGGACCCACACTACACGTCGCCCTGGGGCCTGAGTGGTAGAGTTAATCACACCTGCCAATCAGATAGGTGGTTTGCTGTGCAGATTTCTGCAAAGACTGCTCGTGTGAGCTGCGGTTTCTCTGTTCTTTACAATTATTTGCCTCGAATGGGTGGCCAAGAGCGGGGTTCATGGTTAGGAGATGGTGAAACCTAAGGTAGGAATGTGTGCCCGTGCCCTCCTCCCCAAGATCCAGGTTTTATCCTTCAGAATATTTATGCTCTTTGCCGCTGTCCATCAGGGCCGTGTTAGCTGCACTCCCAAGGGGCTGACTGGTGGGTCCCCAGGGGTAGGCATGCTAATGTCCTTGCAGTGACAAAACATGCCATCTCTTCTGAGCATCTCCATCCTCTCTGCCCGCCTGGGTGCGTGGCTGCTGAGTGTCCTACCTGGATAATAGACTCCTCCAGGAACTCCACCGGGAACAGCCCCTGGGACCCCTGGAAGGAAGGAGGTAGAGTCTTTCATCAGTCAGAACTCATAAAATTTTGGTGACATGGATAAACATGGAGAATGGTAATGGTTTTGTTGACAAAGCAGGTTCTGTTTACATTTTCAAATTCTCAAAGTAGCCCCGGGAGGCTGGAAGGGTGGGGATCACTCTCAGGGATTTAACAGATGTGAAGTTGGGCTCAGAGAGGTTAAGGGATGTGTCTGGGGTCACGCAGCTGAAACAAGATGGAGCCTGGGCTCCACCCAGACCCCGCCTCTGAGAATATGTGATGTGGTGCTACCTGATCTCCTTAGGGGCAGGGGGCTCTGCGTGGGGCTGGGACTGGGTGCTGGGCAGACAGTTCCCTCCTGCACTGAGCAGCCCGGGTCAGAGCCAGAGCTGTGGGAGGGCAGAGCCGGCGGCTGCAGCGGCTGCCAGCAAGATCGCGGCCATTCCCACCCTGATAGGATGGCGTGAGGTCAGCGTCCCGAACCACTGGGCCACAGTATTGGGGTGGAGTCCTGGCCATCTGACACAGGGCTGTTTAGGGAGGCGCCGGGTCCGGGAGGGAGACATCATGAATGAGCAAAGTGAATAGTTTCTTAAGGCACAGCTAATTCCCCGGCCAAGGTCACGAGGACAGTCCCCATGGACCAGTGAAGCTGTCACTGGAGGATACTGGCATGCTGGCCCTGGACCTAGGCCTGAGCCGTTGTCATGGCAACCGGCCGGGTCTCAAACCAGGCCCTGGCTCCGCCACAGAACGCTCCCAACCTCGACCAGTCACCTTGCCAAGGCTCCAGCCCCGTCCTGTCCCAGGGGGCTGGGGTGTCTCGGGGGGCACAGGCTGGCTCAGGGGCAGTGCCACGCAGATTTGCAGTGCATCTGAGAGGCACCGCGGCCAGATGTCTGGCTCCGGGGCCGGGTGACATGTCCCAGCTGGCCCCTGAGCCTGGTCAGCCTCAGCTAGAGCTCAGCAGGGCTGGGGACGCTGGCTGTCTTGGCCACCCCATGCCAAAGCCAGCACTGGGGTCTGCGGCCCCCCCCGGGAACTGTGGTCCAGTCCTGGAGTGTGTGAGCAATCTGGCCAGAGCCTGGGGGATTGGAGGAGTGGCCCCAGGGGGCTGGGCCTGCTGGGAACGAGCAGGCGGCCCTGTCATCAGCTGCCAAGTCCACACAGGGCTTGCCTTGGGGCTTTGGTGCCTTCTCTGGCTCTGGCCTCCAGCTCCCAATGCATCTCTCTCTGCCTCAGCCTCTCTTCCTGCACTTTCTCCCCTCCTCCCTCGTGGCCCTCTGTCCCCTCTTCTCTGCCTTCAGGCTTCAGAGAAGACAGCAGGGGACAGTGAGGTGGGTGGGAAGGGGCCGAAGGGGGGTCAAGACAGATCCCCCCTAGCCCCCGGCTTCTAATCTTAACTTTGCTGCTTCTTACCATCTGTGTGACCTCAGGTAAGTCACTTAACCTCTCTGAGCCTCAGTTTCCTTTTTTCAAAGTGGGGCTGATCCTCACTGCCTTGCACGGTTGCAAGGGTTCAAGTAAGAGGCTGTGTCTTGTCGGTACCTGGCCCAGAGTCATTGTTCAAAAATCAAATCAAAACAAAACAAAAACAAAGAAACTATCGGTGACCTCTAATCTCCATTTCTTCCCACTCTGCTGCTCGGGTTGGGTGGATAGTAGGTGCTCAGTGAACGATGGGTGAAGCAGGTGCAGGGGAGGCAGAGAGGACGCTTATGGATCTGGGTCTGACCTGTTTCACCCCATCGTATCTGCCCTGGGGTCTCCCCATCTCAGACTTGTGCAGCTGCCAGGCCTGGCTGAACCCCACTTCTCTCCTGGTGCTGGACTTGTGGCCAGGCCCTTTCCGGAGTAGGACGCTGCTTCCCTTTTCCCTACTCTCCACGCCCACATTTCAGATCCGGGACAGGGCTGGCCAAATCCCACACCCAAACCCTGACCACCCTGGGGCAGCCGTTTCTGCCCTGTCTCTCTTCCAACGTGGGGCAGGTGAGAGGAAAAGGGGACCCGAGTGGAGAAAGGGCCCTGGAGAAGTGGCAGGCTCCTTGGCAGAGCCCAGCTTGTCACCCGCATTCCCACCTCCTCGACAGAAGCGCGCTTCCTGCCAAGAATGCCCGCGCCTCCCTCCAGGCCCGGCCCTGGCTCCCAGGCCTGTTCTCCCTCCTGCCTTCCTGGGCCTGCGGCTCCTCTCGCCCGCCGCTCAGCTGGCCTGGCGGCCTGGAACACACTCGTCTTGTTTTATGTGGGTTTGGCTTGTCCTACTGAAGCAGCCCAGGGCGGAACTTGTCTTGCAGCTAAGAATCCTGATCCCGGCTCTCAGGGATCAGAAGAGCCTCTGGCCTGGGCTGGAACTTCTGCAAACCTCCCCTGACACTTCCCTCCCCTGGGCTCTACCTGAAGGGGTCTTCCTCCTGCTGAGGCTGAATGGACCCCTGTCTCTCCTGCTCCACAGCCAGATCCCCCTGGATGGAGGAGGCCCATCGCCCCCCGACTCACAGCCCCTCGAAAGAAAGTTGGGCCTTTCGTTCAAGGTCTGGCTTAAACATCTCTTCCACTGGGAAGCCCTCCTGGGTTTCTTGGGGCTCCTGGGCCACCCATTCCCAGAGTCCTGTCTGTGTCCTCTCTCAGCGCACAGCCATTTATACCTCTGCTCCCCTGGGGGGAGAATTCAACCTGAGAAATTAATCCTAGAAAGGAACCGCAAGGATCCATCAGCCTGAATACGAGAATATATCGTTTTACATCTGGACATTCCCACAGTCCTCTGATTGAAGGCATTTTTGGCAGGGGTGACATGGCTGTAGCTCCCACTGGCTCTAGGAGGCGGGGACGTCAGACGGGATGTCTCTTCCCATTTTGCAGCCAGAGAAACCGAGAGCCAGAGAGATGAAGGGCTGGCCTGGGACCTGTAGCTGACCCCAGTCACATGCAGGGCCTTCTGCCCGGAGCCTGGGCTCCAGGTTCAAAGATCTGGGAAAAGCCTGTTTGGGAGGGAGCCGCGGCCGTGGGCCTTGGCAGGGGGCTCTGCCAAGCCAAGTCCAGGGTGGGGGGGGGCGGCTGGGGAGCAGATAAAACCTCACGAGGCTTTGTTGTTTGCAGGAAAAGGTTGCCAATGGTTTTTCAAAAACAATCTGTCCTCGGTGGGTGACTCTGTCCCCTCCCACGTGGGGCCATATTTGTGTTCCTGCCGAGGCCCCAGCAGACACACAGAGCTGGATCCATCCCTAAGCCAGAGCTTCTTGGCTCTGGCGGCTCATCAGAGATACCTGGGGAGCTTAAAAGAATGTCCCCCCATCCAGGTTCCTCTCCAGACCAAATGGAGGAGGAATCCTTGGGTGGGACCTGGCATAGGAATTGTTCAAGGTTCCCCTGGGGAGCTCTTGGACCCAGCCAGGGTTGAAAGCCCCGATCCAAACCACCTTTGGCTCAGAAATCGAGGGGTGGGGGGTGGGGGGGATGGGGAGGAAGCCTGAGGGTATTTCTAGGGGGATTATTCTTCCCAGGAAATGCTGTTGTGACCCCACTAGGGAACTTGCACACGTGACACCCTCCTCTTGCAGAGAGGCTGGGCTCCCCCAGGGTATCCAGGTGGGTGCTGGGAGTGCGTGACTGCGGTATCTGTTCCTGACGTCTCCTGACTCTGCACCCAAACCCCAGAAGAGCTTATCCATTCACAAAGCCCCTTATTTGAACACAGCCAGTCCAGAAGTTTGGGATAGAATGGAGATTTATCTTTGTAAAAAATGATACCCTCTAAGGGATTAATGATGTCACCAGGGCTAGAGGAACAGGGTTACTTTGCCCTTAAAGGACTCACTCCAGGTCTCTGTCCCCCTCCCCAATATTGCCTGTAGCTTATCCCAACTCCCTCTTCCTTTGACCCAGGGTGGAGAGCTGGCTGGTGCTGACCCCCAGGGGCTGCCTGAGACTGACCGAGCCTCAGTTTCCCAGATGTGAAGTGGAGATAATGATTCCTGTCTCTCCCAGCTGGGGGGTTCACTGCCACTCATAGGTGGTGGTATTGGCTGGGAAGGAAGGGGTGTTTGGGGGCCACACCTGGGGGAGGGGACCCAGACAGCCCAGAGATGCTGCTCTCAGGGGCTAGCTCTCTGCTCCCCACCACCACTGGTGCCCACATCCCTTGGCCTCATCCAGGACTGGACCCTGCACAAGAAGCTCCTGTCCCGGCATCTGGCCCTGTAGGTCAATCTCATGGAAACAGCCCTGAGGCACCCTGGGCCCCACCTGTTGCCCAGTCAGAGTCTGGCTCTCATGGCAAGGAGGTTCCCATGGAAACAGACCCCACCTAGGCCACCGCAGCAGATGGCCAGTGATCTTGCACCTCTCTCTTCCTGTAGCCCAAGGCACCTCTGGGCTCCCAGCTGGCCCCTGTGGACAGTCCCACAAATCCAGCAGCATCTGGGTCTGGACACACACCAGATAGGCCAGCAACAGACTGGGGTCCACTCCAGCCTGTGACACCGGCTTGTCCCTCTGTCGGAAGGTGGTCACCTTCCCCAGCTTGCCTTTCCTTTCTCGGACTCCCCGTCTCTCACACAAACAGAGTTGTGCACACAGACACTCACGGTCACATGCACAGTGACAATCCACACCTGGGGACACATCTGCATGCCAGATCTTTCATGTGTAGTTGTCTGTGGGGTGGCAGCTCCTGGAGCCCCCTGCCCTGTACACAAACACCTGTCCAGCTGTGAGCCTGGGAGTGGATGTTCAAACCTCCCCAGAAAGTCCCCCTGCTTCAGCGACAAGCTTGAGCACGGGCACACAGGGACACCTGTGCAATGTAGCATGCGACACACTTGTTCATACATGAGCACATGTGAAACACACTCTCCAGAGTCCCTTCCCTGGGGACAGACCACAGCAGCAGCTCTCCAATCTGCAGTCCCGTAACCAACCTGACCTGGACCTTCCTCGGGGGATTTCCCATCGGAGGAGGAACCTGCCGAGGTCACAAGCTCACTGTGATCTCCAATCCAGGTCCCCTGCCCCGCGGGCTGCACGCAGCACACGGGCTGGTCCGCAGGTGCGCACCAACCGGCAGAGCGCACCGGGTGGCGCAGGGGCCCCGCAGCCCTCTCGGGGCAGCAGAGCCTGGCACGAGGTGGGACCGTCCTGAGCTGCGGGTCGTTTGACAGGATCCCATTGCGCTCGGGCCGGCGCTTCCAGGCCGGTGGGCTGGGGTTGGGAGGCCAGGGGGTGGAGGCTCCGCCGGCCGGTCCACCCTCAGGCCCCCTGTCCGTCCGCCGCCTGGGGCGCGGGCAGCAGCGTGGGAACCGGCAGGGCCCTTACCTCCGGGCTGCGCGGGGTGGAGGAGGGCCAGCAGGAGCAGCAGGACTCCGGGCCTCGGGGCCGCCGCCGTCAGACCCGCCATCGCCATCTCGGGGAGGAATGCCCCGGCCTGCTCTCCGCGCCTCGTTTTATCCCCAAAGCGTAATTGCTGCCTGGTCGGCTGCGCGGGAAGGAGGTGGGCGGAGGCGGGCGGCGGCGGGCGGGGGAGGCCGGCGGGGGCCGGGAGGGGGCAATTACGAAAGCCCCGCTGCAGCCTCCGGCGGGGCCGCCTGGACCCAGAGCCTTCTCCTGCACACACACTCGCGTTCACGCCCGCGCGCGCGCACACACATACACACACACACACACACACACACTTTCCCCATCCCTTTCCCGCTTTCCCTCTGTGGCTGCTCTCGCTGCTGGCCCCGTTCCCGCCAGAAAGTGCGAGGGGGCCTCTGCCAGGACGGCCCTCAGGAGAGGAAGCAGGAGGGAGGGCCCCCGCAGCCCGGCCAAAACTGCCGGCCCTCGCCAAGTCCTGAGTGGCCAGGCCCCCGCCCCTACGGCTGGGCCCGGGGCCCAGTGTGGGGACACAGGCCAGCTGTCTCGAGCCTCAGCCCCCACCCTGGCCCTCCAGACACCCCAGCACCCCAAGCCTGGCTAGAGATCCACCCTGCCCAAAGCTGGGATGGGGAGGTTGGGCAGGACAAGGGCGCAATGTCTGCAGAGGTCGAGGGCCCCTGGGTAGAAAGACCGGCAAGGCTGGTGTTGTCTGGAGCACACAGGGGACAGCATGGAGACCCTGGAATGCTATAAGGCTCCTTTCTGCATGGGCCAAGGACTCAGTCTCCTGCCTGAAGCTGCAACAGGGTGTTGGACAGGTTTGTGGTGGATATCTGCAGAGGCCAGGAGACTGCAGTCAGGAGAACGGCCTGGGAGTGAAGGCCACGTTTACACTGTCCCCCGAGATCTCTGGGGCATGCAGGGGACCCTGACATACGAGGTTCTATTCTGCACCGGTTGAGGCCACATTTCCATACAGGTCATAGTGTCTGGCAAAGGTCACTATGGGGAACAGGGAGGTGGGAGCCCCACGCATACTGACAGGCATCCCAGTCTCCTCATTGTCACTTGCTCATCACCTTTCCCAAGGCTGAGCAGCACTGGTGTCCAGATAAGACCCCAGAGCCCCAGACTCAGGACTGGCTCTCTGCTTCTGGGAGAATGTCCAGGATCGCCATTCCTCCGGTGGCCAGCAGGGGGCGCCTGTGCTGAGCAGCTGGGGCAGCGGGCAGCAGAACCCTGATGCTCTCCGCCTGAGCAGGTTGGGGCTCTGAGGGTTTTGGGGTGTGTGTATGGTGGATCAGGGGTCATATCCCCACCCCCAGCCCTCACTAGTGGGAAATAGATGTCGGAACCACAGGATAGGACAGGAAGCTGTGCCCTAAGACACAGCCGGTCAGGGGACAGTCTGGACCATGTCTTTGGGGCTTTCCCTGCACAGAGGGATGAGTTAATGCCCTTTGTCCAGCCAGGAACATGGTGGCAGTCTGCAGGGCTGACAGGGAGTGGCCAGGAGGAAAGAGGTCCAACGTAGGTTTGGAACTCAGGTGGACCTGGGACTGAGTTCCAGCTGTGGCACTTTCTAGTGGGCTAACTTCTCCACAGGGTTCGAGTCTCCTCACCTCTCAGAGGGTGACAAATGTCCCTGCCCAGGAAGATGATGGCAAAGGTAAATTGAACATGGTCATCTACTTCTGCCTGTGCCTGCAGCTTTCAAATGCACTCTGTACCCTCTGGTACCACTTGGACTGTCATTGCTGCCATCAGGTCTTCAAGAGCTGTTCCTGGTTTTAGCATAGCTATCAGGATGGCTCTCTGCCAGGCCACCCTGGGATCCCAGGCAATCTCTGCCTCCCCCTGGTCTCTGGTCAAAGCAGCTCCGAAATTTTGGGAGGTGCGGACACACTAGGAGAATCATCTTTAAACATACAGTTCTACATGGTGTGTGTTTATTTGGAAGTGTGTTGGTTGGGGGGCCTAAAACCCCCCAAGTCAGCCCTTGTTGGTAGGGGCAGGGGTCCGGGGGTAGGGGCTGAGATGCTGTGCCTGGGAGCCGTCTGCTGGGAGGGGAGGGAGGTCAGGGGTGCATCTGTGTGTCTGCCTTCTTCCCAGGAAGGGGGAAGGAAGGGGGTTCTGGTGGGGAACTGGGCCCCACTCCTCTTGGGGCAGTGACGTGGGCAGGAACCAGCTTTCAGACTTACAAACCGCAGTCGGCTCGGAGGCTTTATTAATTCCAGGACTGGGAAAGAGGCTGGAGCCAGCGGGAGAAGATTTGCTGTGAGGATCCAGGAGAGGTGTGCAGGGGCACTTGCTGGGGTAGACGTGAGGCTGCTGGGCCCCGGTCCTGTGTCCTGCGCCCAGCTCGAATCTCCCCCACCCCTGTCCCTAGCAGCCTGTGTTTGCTGCAGTCGCTCCTCTCAATGTAATCTGGGAGGCTGCTGTACGACCTCCAAAGGGGCCTGGGTTCAGGGCCAAATCCATCAAATGATCACCCGGTGCACGGTAGCCCAATATGTGCTACACCCGATGCAAGGAAGGGGCGCAGGTGTTGGTGGCACTCACTCCCCGCTTGTTCATCCAGGCCCAGTGTCCCCAGCTGCTCAGCCACCTCCCTGAATACCTGAACAGATGACATAAGGGCACACCTGAGAGCCACCTGCAGAGAGCAGCAGGGTGCCCCGGCCCTTACCCTTGACAAACCTCACCACTTGCTGGCTGCCTGGCCCATGTGGGCAGAGGGCTCGCAGGTGAGTCTCTTGAACACCACCTCTCCATTCCTGCTCCTTCAGGTGTACCATCTAAGAAGGACACAGTTCTGGATCTCTGCCCAGCTCTGAGAATGTCATTGCTCTGCTTAGAAACCCTCAGTAGCCCTTCAGAGAAACTCCAGATCTCTGAGTGAGGACTTCCAACCCCATAAGACCCAGCTCCACCCGCCCTGTCTCCTTCCTTCCTCCGACTGGCTCCGAAGCTGCTCTCTGGCCCCCAGGCTGATCCTGGAGGTCTGGGTGGGGACCTGTGTTGGCGATGTTCCCTGGTCTGGGCTTCCACCACCTCCGGGTCTACTCCCGTGCCCAGCATCCCTGTCCTCTGGACCTCTCTGAGGGTCTTTAACAAAGTCCCCCTGGACTGAGCTTGGGGGCTTGCTCTTATCCCCACCCTGGCCTGGCCATCATGGAAGGCAGTTGGTGGGTAACGCATGTCTGTCTCCCCTCTCATCCAAGAATGTTGGATTGTAAGTGCTGATGAACCTTCTAGGAGATGGGGACAGATGCTGGAGTAGACAGAATCCCTGGGGTGTGGCTTCTGTTTTCTTCCTTGTGAATACAGGGTCCCATCATCCGTGAAACACAGGACGCGCTGCTGAGTGGGATCCTGAGCTACAGAGAGGACAATGGACTGTGGGGCTGTCCTAGGCAGAGGAGGGCTCAGCCAGACCTGGGACCCCAGTGGTGCTTCCTCCCAGGGCCACTGAAGATGCTGCTGAGAGTCATTTATACCTCCGCATGAGCCAAGGTCCCTCCAGCCAGCCCCAGAGGAAAGAGGATCAATGGTTCACTAAAAAGTATTTCTCATATGAGCCCAAACTGAGGTTTGGGAAGGACATGAAGGCTGGTTGGGGCAGCCCCTCCGGGACAGACTCAGTAGCGAGACAGGGTGAAGGACCTCAGGATACAGCTTCCCGGCCCTCCTTGCCTTGTCCATTAGACTCAGCTGCAGACAGTGAGGTTGGAATCTCCCCTCCTCTGATTCTAAACTTTCTAGTAGCTACGTAAAAGAAAACCTAAGTAAAACTGTGTGTGTGTGTGTGTTTGTGAGTGTGTGCATGCACGTGTGGTCCTGGGGATTGAACCCAGGTATGCTGTACCTGGGGATGAACCATGTCCCCAGCCCTCTTTATTTTTTTATTTTGAGACAGGATCTTGCTGAGTTGCTGAGGTTGGCCTTGAACTTGTGATCCTCCTGCCTCAGCCTCCCAAGCAGCAGGGATTACAGGTGTGCACCACCACACCTGGCAGTATGTTATGTTTAACCTAGAATATCTGAAATATTATTTCAACCGCTAATCCATGTAAACATTATCGGCGAGATATTTTGCATTCTTTTTTTGTAGCAAGTCTTAAAACTGGAGTGTATTTTACATTTTCACGGCGTCTATTTGGACTACTCACATTTCAATTGTCCAGGAGCTTCCTGTGGCCATGGCCCCTGCCGGGGACAGTGTGGGATTAGACTGAGGTTATGGGTGAGGACGAGGCTGACTTCGTTATGGCGGGCAAGGCGGGAAGAGCGGACCTGTTACTTGAGGGTCGGAGGCAGGAAGGGGGCTTGGGGTCAAGGGAATGGGGCAGAGAAGGAGGGTGTCCTTGAGGGCCAGTAGAGAAAGGCTGAGGTGCCCCCATGACAGGTAGCCCCACGGGAGAGGCCCTGCCCTCTTGCTGGGGGCTGAGGCAGAGAGGGTGGCCACCTACCGTGGGCTCCCAGGCAGCTTCGGCCCAGAGCTGACATCTTAGCTGGGAAAAGAGGAAGATGTCCCTGCCCAAAGGTGGCCAGGGACCCCTGGGATGGACTGTGGGCCAGGAAAGGAAGGGACCGTCCTGGGGGACAGGCCTTACTGGAAGTCAAGGGTCAGTAACCGGGAACAGACAGAGGGCCCTGTGGGCAGGGCCACTCCTGGGTCGGCCCAAGGGAAGGACAGGCTGTGCTTGGGGTCGGGGACAGGAGTTGTGGAAAGGGGGGCTGGGACTCCACATCCTGCCCCCAGGTGGCAGGAGAACAGCCTGGAGGTGTGGAGGTGTGAAGGCAATCCGGAAGGCTTCCAGGAAGAGTTGACACCAAGGCGGCCAGTATCATCAGTGTGGTCACGATGGGGACTAATGTTAGTGTGAACCTGGGTGGATTACCTGATAAGGGTGATGCCATTATTATTAACTCAGCCCCAGAAGCTCCAGTGCCCTCCCACGGGGACAGAGGTCTTCGTGGACCTTTAAGATCAAAAAGCTCATGTCTTTAGAGTCTGGTATTCAGCAAGTGCTCAATCATGGGATGGGGTCTATGATACCGTCTCAGGCAACTGAAGCAGCCGATGGAGGGGTAGGCAAAGGAGGAAGCCCCTTCCCTGCACATACCGTCCCCTCCCCCCGCCCTGTGCTCTGGTTCCCAAGCCTCAGAGCCCTCTGGGTGATGCCACGCTTTCCCCAGACCTGGGTGTCTGTGCGTCTGAGTCCTTTGTCAGTCTGGGTCTTCGATGGGTGTGGGCAGGGGGTGGGTGTCCTGGACAGGCTGTCCTGCCCGGGGCAGTTCCCACGTCGCCTAGCAGGGAACACGGAGAGCTGGGCAGCCTGCGCACCCCCTCCCCAGGGGACCCGGATGGAGGAGTCCAGAACACGCCTCTCATTTGTTTGACACTTGAGAGTTTACAAAGCACATCTTCCTTTTCCATCAGGGATATTATTATCCCAGTTTATAAACCGAGGAGTTATTAGGAGTCCTGTCTCCAAGCTCGGGCTGGCCAGAAAGAGCTCGTGGGATCTCCTGGGTTTCAGCTCTAAGCCCTTGTCACGTGGGCAGGCGGAGGCAGTGAATTCCATCCCAGTTACGGGCTCTGTCTCCCTGCGCCTGGCACCCTCCGCCCAGACCCAGGCGTCTCAGTCTGGAGACTGGAGGACATGGCCTCCCAGATCTGCTTGGATCCTGCAAGCTCCCGTGCTCCTGGGGACTGTGCTGCGTCAGCTGAGGCTGGGCCACCCCCAGGAAGCGCTCCCTCTGGTCCTCTGCTCCTCGGGGATGTGCCATCCCAGTTCAAGGGGAGACTCTTTCCCGCTGCTTTCGGCTTCCCACCCAGATGCTGCTCAGAGGGGAGAGAGGGGAGGGACTCGGGGGGACACGTGCAGGTATTCTGGGCTTAACACACTGTCCTTCAATGCATAGCTGAGCACAGGATGGGCAGAGGCCACCCAAGGGCTCCCTGCATGCCTCTGAGGCCCCTGGGGCACCACACCAGGAGGGAGCATGGCCCTGGCCAGAGTCTGTTCAGCACCTGGACAGCAAGGTCCTCTTCCCTGGGCCAGACATTTAGTAGGGCCTGGGGCTGGGCTGTTGCCCGCCTCGCCCAGGGCCCAGCTGGCGCTGGGTGGTGGGCAGGCTCTCACCTCGCCTGCCGTGCTCTCCGCCTTTCCCGGGGCCTTATCTCCCCGCAGCCTCCCCCAGCCCTCTGCCGTGCCCAGGAGCCTTTCCAAGAGCCTAATGCTGCGGGGCGGGGAGCTCTCTTCCTCCCAGGTTTTCGCCCGTCTCCATCTCCACACCACGTTCGGCCGCTCCCTGTCCTGAGCAGAACCCTCCACCCATGCCCGGAACCTCAGCTGGCATGATCCTGGTGGCGCCAGGCGGGTCCCACGGGCGGCCAGGGCAGCTGCCAGGATGCAGGGTGGGAGGCAGGTACGGCTGGGCCAGGGGCTCCCGCTGGGCCAGGGTTATCCACTCCTCTTGAGTCTATCCTCTGCATTCCTGAGCAGCGGCTCTGCTGGGCCTGGTACTTGGAGGTGGGCAGATAGAAAGGACCCAGCAGCTGCGCTCTTGCAGGAACCCTGGAGGTGTGGAGGCAATCCGGAAGGCTTCCCGGAAGAGTTGACGCCAGAGTTGAATCCTGGTCCCTCCTCCCAAAGGGATATGCTCTCCCGGTGGCATGGCGTGTGGTGTATGCAGGAACAGAAGGGCTGGAGGCAGCCCTGACCTGGTGGCTGGCCTTTGACCTTCAGCCCACCCACACAGCCGCCTGCTGGGGAGCTTCCGAGAGCAAGGCGGCCAGGAACAACTCTCCCAGGACACTGGCCCTTCCTACCCGGCCTGGTCCACTTTCACAGCTCCTGATAAAGGGCCTTTCATTTCTACCAGCATTTTTCAAATTGTAGGTTGTGACCCATTGGTGGGGCGTGAAATCAATTTAGTGGGTCACTGAATGTTCCTGTAGCATTTTAAGGTCAGATGGACTAGAATAGAAGAAAATAGGAATCCAGACAGCGCTGATTTACGATGCCTTGACTCAGTCGGTTGGGTCAGGGAACAACTGACCGGGTGCTGCGCTGCTAAGCTAGAGGCTCAGTAGGTTCCGTGTGATAAATGCACTTATTGTTATCATTATTTTTGATATTAGGGATTGAATGGAGGGGTGCTTAGTTACTGAGCCACATCCCCAGCCCTTTTTAAAAGTTAAAATTTAGAGACAGGGACTTGCTGAGTTGCTTAGGGACTCGCCAAGTGGCTGAGGCTGGGTTTGATCTCAAGATCCTCCTGCCTCAGCCTCCCGCGTGCACCACTACACCTGGAGATAAACGCATTTTTGATCTGATATTTTCAACTCATGATGGGTTTACAGGGAGGGAACCCATCGTGACTCAGGGAGCAGCCGCACAGGTGGGTGTGAGGCAGATGATCCGATTCAGCAGGGTTTCCGGCTCCTTTCGTGTGAGCTCACACGTGGGCACGTGGAGAGTAGATTTCGCAGAACAGTTTCCTCACTCGGCGCTGTCAGAAAGTCGGAAACACACAGCTCCTGCTCTCCATCTGCATTGAGGGCTGGGGACCTGCTGGGGGAGGGTCAGCCGCGGTGGGCACCTGGGCAGGTGCTGAGTAAATGCACAGATGGCTACACTTTCCCCGATGGCTTTTGGCTCCGGTCACCCATGGGAGCTGGGTGATGGGTCTTGGCCCCTTAGCCTGGGTAGCCATTGTTCTCCCGGCCCCCCAAAGCTCTCCAGACTCACTGGGGGACCCCGCTAGGTCATCTTGGGGGAAGATCATGGCTTCAGGGGGTCTCTTGGGGCCCATGGCTTGAGGGTAGGGCTACTAAGTGGGCAGTGCTCCAGTCTCGCCCAGCTGGTACCAAAGCTGCCCTGGTTTTGTTTGGTTTACATCTGCGGGCTCTGAGTCTCATGTAAGTTGAAGACATTTCCAATGCTTTAAAAACCCTGGAAACCGCCACTCCAGGTCCTCAGCATTCTCTTCCTGACTGCCCCATCCCTGGGAGACCCTGGGCGGCTGGCTTCCCTCTCTGGGCCAGGAGCTCCCTATGGACAAGGGAGCACTGGGTCAGAGGAGGTTCTGAGCCCTGGCTGTGCATTTGAATCTGGGAGTTTTTAGAGCAGACGAGGCTTTAGCATTTGCAGATTCCAGGAATCACTGGTGCATGGTAGTTTGGGAAGCACCGGGCTCAGGTGTCTGGGGGACCCTCACCCAGGGGACCCTGGCTGTCAGGACAGTGGTTCTCAGAGTTTAACAAGCATCAGCATCTTTGGTTTTCAAAATGTGGTCTCTGGACCAGCAGCACCAGCTTTGCCAGGGACTGAACTTGCTAGAAACATAGATTTCCAGGTCCGTCCTTCTGTCTGGGAGACTTGGGGGTGGGACTGACAGTCTGCTGTAACCAGCCCGACAGGTGATGCTGCTGCATGTCCAACGTGAGGTCCCCTGCCCAACGCAGTGACCTCTGGAGTCCCCAGGTGAGGGTTCCCTGTGTCTCCAGACAGTCTTCCAATCCCAGAAAGAAGCAAGGATGCTCGTGCTCAGTTTCCTGGCTGTCATAATGGAGTACCACCGTCCAGGGGGCTTGAGCAGCAGAAGTGCATTTTCTTTCAATTCCAGAGGCCGCACATCCAAGATCAAGGTGTTGGCAGGGTGGATTCCTTCTGAGACTTCCATCCTTGGCTTCTGAATGGCAACCCTCTCTCTCAGTCTTCTGTGTGTTTGTCCTCCTCCCTCCTCCTCCCACCTCCTCCCTCCTCCTCCCTCCTCCTCCCTCCCCTCCTCTCTCTTCCTCCTCCCTCCCCTGCTTCTTCTTCTTTTGGGGATTGAGCCCAGGGCTGCTTTAGCTACATCCCCAACCCTTTGTTATTTTTTTATTTTTGAGACAGGATCTCACCAAGTTGCTGAAGCTGGCCTCGAACTTTCCATCCACCTACCTCAGCCCAGGATCCTCAGTCACTAGGATCCCAGGCATGCACCACACCCAGCTCCTAATCTCTTCCTGTGAGAACACCTGTCATGATTGACTTGGGTCCACCCTTAATGACCTCATCTCAACCTAAAGCCTTCCTAAAATACCCTATCTCCAGGCCCAGTCA